CAAAATCTCAACCCATGTGTGCAAGTAATATTATATAATTTATTTACCTATATATTTATTATATTATATTTTGTTTTTAATGTATTGATTGACTTTACAATGATATGTGTTTTTTTTTTTATTCATTTTTTATATTTTTGTATTATTTGTGTCTGTGTAGAGTGTACACTATAATAAGTCGAAATTATGCTTCAATTTTCAACTTCAATATGCTAGCTGATGGGAAAGAGAATCTAGTTGATGTGTTCAGAAGGTCAAAACTTAAAATTTCAAATAATTTTCAAAAGCGTGAAAAAAAATTAAGATAAAATATTGGTTTTTGAGCAAAATCGGTTTTTAACAAAATCGATTTTGGTTTTTGGTATAACTCTAAAGCTGTATACACATAACATTTTCACTGAATATTAATATAAATATTTTCTTTACCCTATTAAATTTTCAAAGTATATTTGGCCTCGTGTTAATCTATTTATAGATCAACACAAATTTCGATTTTCATTAGTTATTGAAAATGATTATCGAGCTTTATTAATAATAATATTTTTTTAAATAATAATTTGAACATGGCATTACAATTTAGAATAATATAATTTGGTTAGTTTACAGAATAATATATTTGTTCAATAATAAATTTTTTCACTGCGAGGAAAGGAGAATATAATCATAAGTATAACAGGGCAATTACATTAAATATTAAAATAATTAATTTAGTCACCACGAGGTATAATAATAAAATGCTAATTTAAAAAAATATATAATACAAATAAATTAGTAAATATACTAACCGGTCACAAGTTAGAACGTCAAAAAAATGTAATTATAAATATAAATAATATACAAATAAATGAATAGGTACACTAATAATCAGTAACAATTTTGATCGTCAATTTTTACCATAATAATAACACACAATTTAAAAAAATTCTTTTCTGCTTATTTCGCCAGATTTGTATTTCTCGATATAAGAATTGATTGTTAATTTTTTTGTTAAATATGCTCTATTTGAAATATATTTATCATGTTCTGTACTATTTATTGCAATATACGCGCTAGTCTGAATTTCAATTATAACCTTTTAAAAATACAAAAATATTTGGATGAGGAGAATAAAAGTTTTTAGAAAATGAAGCGTGGAAAGCTTCACATGCATTAGTTGTACGTTCAGAACTTATTGAATTAGACGCCCATAGTATCGGGGGAAAGTAGAATTAGATGATAATATATAGTTTTCAACAATATAATTAGTAAATTTGGTTAGATTTGAATTAAATGGTTGAATCGTCATTACTTCTTCTACAAACACATCTTCTACTTCTTCGTGTGGAAAAAGCGACAGACCAAAAATTAAATGCAGCCATTTTCCTACTTCAGAATTAGGGTTTTTATGTTTTGTTTGTAGTCCACAACTTTGAATATTCCTCCACCAAGCTTGAGATAAATGAAATCTACATCCCACTAGAAGAATTGAAGACCAGATTTGTTTAGATGCAAAATGTATAGCTAGTTCGAAATCGGCAACGACTGTTTTTGGATTAAAATCGAGATTGAATGTTGCACATTTACTAATCAAAGCTCGAAATAAATATTCGTATGTGGTTGACAACTTGTTTGGCAGTAAAGAAAATATAAGTGGAATATAGTGACAATTTTGCATACCATCATGTATCGTAAAAATTTGATAAACAAATTTAGAACAAAATTCAAATGTTCCATCGACGAATATTTTGTCACAACTGCATAAAAATTCTAAATTTGATTTTGTAGAAAAACATATTATATTCAACATATTTTCATTTATAAGCAATAAATTCTCATCCTTGTATGTATTCGTATCCAAATTATTTAATGCTGTATGCACTTCCGTTACATTTTTCGGTAATGGTGGTAGCGTTTTTCTACGAGCACGATAAACGTTTCATCGTATAGAATGAACATCGTTTAATGTCAAATATGATACTGTTATAAAATATATTAAAACCAGTCACTTTAGCTAGTAATCAATTGATCAATAAATCGCTGTATACTAATTGAGTCCCTATACCTGAACGGGGAAAAAAATAATATACTAATCGAGTCCCGGGTATAATCGTGAAACGAGACATATACTAATTGAGTCCGGGGTTAGGAAACTAATTGAATACGAATCGAGTCGGAGGATTATTTTGGGTAAAATATAAAATAACCATCCAGACACAGCGAAAATTATGCCACGCGTCAAAAGCCGCTCCACACGGATATACCTATATGGCTATATATACATATTATATTATTGAAGCTTTGTCCAAAAGTAAACAAAATACTAATGGTATATGAAGTTATTATTTTTCATTCCGTGGATAGTAAACAGTTGAGTAAACTGTATTGGGCAGCTTTTAAAAGTCCCGTCAATATATATTGTATCAAACGAAAAAATATATATTGGTTATATATATTAATTAATATAATAATTATTTTGTATTATAATATTTTAACGGGACTCAGTTAGTATTAAAACATGGACTCAATTAGTATTATACCTACAATTTCACTGGACTCAATTGGTTTATAGTTTTATACCCTAAAACAACCCGGGACTCAATTCGTCATAAAAGGTTATACTGGGACTCAGTTCGTATGCAGCCCAATAAATATCAGGCAAATTTGAATGCAAGCGCAACGGTATATTGACCGTAAAATATAAATTTAGTTTTAGGCGCAATTGGTCCATAGCTGGCTCTACTGCCCCTATACTTAAAGATCTTAATTTGGGTTAGGTTAGTTCGTAAAATTCTTTTCGACGTTAGCCGTCAGGGAATATACAAACAACGGACGGGAGTTGTTTGGGATGTGCCGATCGAATCTACATGACTGACGGTTTATAACTATCTATTGCCCTATTATTAGTTTTAGTGCTATAGAGTGTGTAGGGTGTAAGGACTAAGGAGTAACGAATGTTACATCACTTTTTAAATAAATTAACAATAAGAATTCTTGCAAACGTAGAAATAGCTAATGCAATAAAGTTAGAGCTAGTATAGCTATAAACTATAAACACTTGAGTCGACTATGAACAGATCAGGCTGTTGAGAGCAGACAGTCGTTGTATAAAAACTGAGTCCTACGTATATCATTGGCCTTTCGTATTTGTTGTTGTTTATGTAGAAGGTACATAGGTACACAATTTGTTATTGTTATTGCACATTTTGCTATATTAATTACAAAATATAAATACTACAATATTAGGTGTTATAGATAATTTCAATTAATATTGTATGGTACATGGTACAGTTATTTTATTGAGTTTAAGAGTGACATTTTTAATGCTATCGTTATGATATTAAGTTCCTAATGAAGTTTTGTGGCATAATAATGTGTATTATAAACATGCAACACCATCGATCTAGATGAGTGATTGTATATTTGTATATTCGATATTCATATTAATAACTATACTACATTTTATAGACAGGTAACATCATTTCATTTCGATGAGTAATAATTGCCCGCTGAACTATACATTATGAGTATCTAGTGGGTATGTCATCAAATCAATGTATGCATTTGAAAATGTTTTAAAAATAATGTAAAAGGAAAAGAAAAATCAGATAGTAATTTATGAAATCTAAAATCGATTTCACCCGAGCTATTTAGTAATGTATCTTGTAATATAGTCATAATAACTGTATTAAATGAATTTTTAAGTGTGAGTTAATTTGAATTTTAAGGTATAATCACTTTATTACATAATCTATATTGTTATCATCTGAAATGTCGTTAACACAGCTCGTTAGTAGTAAATTGGGTAAGACAATTATGTAAGTATGTGTGCCGTGTTTGATCATATCACGCCTTATTGTCTTAATGCGAAAATGTCGTTTACTATTCTAATGACGGAAAGTGCCGTAGACCCCACACCCATCTTATGTATGTTTAAGTTATCATCGTGGAAGGGCACTTCCAATCGCTTAAATACAGCGGATAGCAGGACATTTAATATCAATTGTCCACCAACCTACAATTGAGTCTAAGGTCTAAGACGAAAACGACGACGACAACCAATACGACCAAAACGACGAGGAGGACGACATTATAGTAGCAGAAGAATTTCAGCCAAGTCCCTCAACGTGCAATATAATCTATAGATAGATCTGTATGTAAGTTTTTAATATTAAAATATAATGCTCATAATTTAAATGAAATATTATACACAAAATATGCCATAATTAGTAAAAACTAAAAATGTTATAGTTTTAATAAAACCACGATTCCGAGTTGTCAGTTGTCCAGTTTGTTGCGGCATATAGACCACGAATTAAGATGTATAAATATACAGATATCTTGATTCGTGGTGGTGGAGAGTAGAGCTATTATTGGTACCATTGGTAAGAATGTGTACCTACAGTGTATACTGTGTATAGAAATACACTTCGAATATACTATAATTATTTTTAATCTATATACTAGTTGTTCTGACCGTATTGGTAAAAAATAACGTCGACTTACCAACCACCGAATAGGCGATTCTCTCGAATCTCGTCCGTTTAAAGAAACGATAAACAGTGAATAATTGTGCTTTACGCCTTTTGACTATATTATATTATTATATTTACTAGCTATACAATTGGAAACTCGCTGTCGTGAAATTCGGGGGTCCTCGAGACTCGCTGAGAGTGGGCGGAGGAGACTACAATCTCGTTAAAATCATACATATAAAAATCGCACCTGTTGTGATGGCAGCTGAAACCACCAAAGACCTCATACTACTAGACAAGAAATGAGTGTATGGAAAGCGTAACAACATAAAGGGCTCTTTATAATTACTCGATTACTCGGTTCGTAATGATAGTGTTATACACAATAAATTCTTGTCTAGTAGTATAAGGCCTACCCTAGAAACGGAGCGGCGTTTGAAATACGGGACTGCCAACGATTAAATTTATTACATTCTTTGACCGTAGAAAAAAAAGATTTTATCGTTCGATCGTTTGTGATTCGCGATTTACGTTGGCAATCTCGTATTGCCGTTGTTCGAAAATAGACAATCCTACAATATTGTAATTTGTTTTTTGTATTCTGCAAGATGAATTTTCAGTGTTTTGAATCAAGATCTAAGCATTTCGAACAAAGCGGCAGACATGGAGCTGGAATACGACAACTTCTTTCACTACTCCACTAGGCTGCTGATGGCCAACGTGTTGGGCGACGTCTACGCGGAACTGTCCAAACTGAAGTCCGCCAAAAACCGGTTCATGTTCACGCGCGCCCTGCTTCGCAAACACAAAATGCTGGCCACGACGTTGGACACCGACATTGAGTACGACGACCCCATCACGTCGACGAGGCTCCGACAAAATGGCAACGTGTTCTTCAAGGTTAAGTTGTACGCGGAGGCCGCCGAAATGTACACCAAGAGTTTGATGGGCAGCCACATGAGCACCGAGTGCTACGCGCTAGCGATGGCCAACCGATCGGCCGCTCACTTCCACATGGGCCGGTACGAACATTGCCTGAAGGGCGTGCGTTGTGCTTTGGGGTCCAATTACCCGCCGAAACTCGCGTACAAGCTGCACGAGCGGGCAGGGCACGCAGCACGCAAGTTGGGATTCGTCGAACGGGCCGTGGAGACGTACGCCTTGTGTCTGACACGACTGGACGAGGCGGACATGTCTGCGGAGAACAAGCTCAAGTTCAGGGCGTCGGTCGAAATGGCCGCGAACGAGTGTGAGAAACTGCTGACCGAGCAGAAGAGGACGATGAAAACTGCACCTTGCGCCGAGAAGCTGGTCGGTGGAAAAAACGAAAATATTCCTGCACTATCAGCCTTTGTGAAATTGAAAATGTCAGAGGATATGGGACGAGGTGTTTATGCCACCCACGACATCAACCCCGGTAAGTCACATTATGGGTAGGTAACCTAACCTAAGATATTTTCGGTAGTAATAAACGGTAAAAAAGTCGAGGGTTCGGAAATTTCGAGAATAGACATTTTTTATTATTATATGAACCACCTATTTGAGATACGGCGTGAGTCCATAAATGGTAATTCCTAGAAAACAAGAAAAAACTGTTTTTACCCTACCAGTGGTATATGGTTAAAAAATAAATATTTACTAATGAGTTTTTCTGGGTAATTGCAACCGTGTTAGGTACCAGTGAATAATTACATTTATTAAATAAAAAATAAGTTTTTTTAATGAACAATATCTTCCTAAAATTAAATTATGTTGTGTATCTATTCATGTTTAGGTGATGTTGTGGCTATAGACGAACCTTACATTTGTGGGCCTTTTTTAAATAATACAGAAGTTTGTCGTTATAATGGTTGCTTGAAGTTGGACTTGGCCCTTTTGCGCTGTCCAAAATGTTTTTTGGTATGTTTTTTTTATATATATATAATACAAGTAAAAATATTAGGTAACACTGTAACAGCATTGATTATAAATACCATACTAGTATTTATTATCAGTGGTAATAGGTATGCATTAGAAAAGTAAAATACATACATTTCTGTTTGGTTATTTAATATTTTTAGAACAAATTTAATCTAAGGCTAAATTTTAACCATCTGAATATACGTACATAATATTTCTCTATAAATTACTTGACGATTTTATTGATTTATCTGCCAACGTAGGTACATAATATGTTAAATTTAAAATTAAAATTTACATTTCTTCTATGTATACCTACTATGATACGCTAGACTTCAATATTATATGAGAATGAATAAAAATAAGTTAATTTGTTAATATATTTTATCAGGTTTATTACTGCAATAAAGACTGTATGGATAAAGACAACAAAGATGGACATCATTTGGAATGTCCAATTATGCATTTTATCAGTAAAACACCAGGAATAACAAGCATGAATGATCTTGCTATGAAGTGGTTTTTAAAAGCCTATTTAAAGATGGGTTTAAAAAAATATTGTTCGATCGTTGATAACTTTTCTGAATCTAAAATTGATCCTATAACAAGGGGTTTCGATGAGATTGGTCAATATAAGTCAGATAATTTTTTAACGGCTTATTCTTTGGATAGTAATGAAAATAAAATGTCAGTTGACGTTTTGTTTTTTTTTAATTGTATCGCTGTTGATATGTTGCATTATTTAACATTAAGTGGCTTCAAAATTCCAGACTGTTATATAGATACTGTGGGTGCTTCCCTGGTGCGTATTCTAACTGTTTTAGATTCAAATTGCAGAAAGTTAAACGTCCATGCCCCTTCTTTATCTTTTCAAAGTTATCTCAAACTTACTCTTACAATAGCATTAGCTTTGTATCCAACCATTTCCTTGTTTAACCATTCTTGTGATGCAAATATTAAGCGGAGTGGAGAAACAACTGATAGAATAAGAGTTATGAAAGCAGTTCAACCAATTCCCAAAGGAACTCAGGTGATTATATAGATAATTATAATATTATTTTATGTTTTACTGTTGGTCATACGTCACTTTAAAGCCATGACAATAAAAATATTATAATTGGTATTTGTAATAGAAAAGAATATTCATAACCTAATAGTACCAAAAAACTCATGAAATAATAATAATGAATAAGGGCTGCAGTAAAGTGATATGCACCGTGTTCGTCGCCATCTCCCTCTAAGGCTTTCTACTACACCATCTTGTTTGATCGGAAAATGAATCTAGTTAGTAAGTTAGTACATTGGAGGGTCAAAAGTAAAATAATTCAAATAGTTTTCAAAAGTGCGTGGAAAAACTAAAAACAAAAAAATTAAGAATATACGGGAATTTTTACGTGAAACAAATTCTAGACAAAATCAATTAAGGTTTGTGGTATAATGTTAAAAATAATAATAACTGTAAATACATTAAATTTTCACCGGATTATTATATTAGCATTTTCCATAACCATACATTTTCAAAATATTTAGACTCTTTTTGAACAATTTATGAGCATAAGAAAATTTTGGTTTTTATTTAACTATTGTTGATAAAATATTTTCGCTGAGTCAAAATACTTGAAAATGAAATACAAAGTTTCTCATACTTTTTTGTTTGTGGGAATTGAGAGTAAGTAAACCCACAATAATATTTAATTAGCGTCTAAAGTTGTAATTTTGACAAAATTCGTCAAAATCACTGAAATTCGCAAATTATTTTGAGTTAGATATTTTAAAGATTTTAAAATTTAAAACAAGATTCCTCGATAGTTTTTTAACTTAATCAATAAAAAAAAGTTTACCGAAGAATCAAATTAATTTTTGTATGAGTGTTTCGAGTTTTTTGTTGACATAGGATAATCAGCCATGAGTTAATGATTTTCTTATTTTCTTATAATTCATAATTTAACTAAAATCTAACACATATATTATGGTGATCCACTTGACAATTAAAGTATAGCAGAGCAGTACTCACATGCCAATGTCTTGTACAAGCTACAGGTATTGCATATGTTTCCGCAGACAAGAACACATTATTTTTGATTATAACATGATCTATTATATTTTTATTTAGTTAGAAAATGTATTTTATTGTTGATTTAATTCCTTATGATTTTGTTCTAGTTGTGCTGCACTTATGGAATAACGTTTAAAGGATCAGATAAAGAATCGAGGCAAAAAAATGTCCACGATCGTTTCAACTTTAAGTGCTACTGCCAGCCATGCACAAAGAATTGGCCAACGTTTCAGTGTTTATCAAATCGCCTTTCTACATCGTATGTTACATATTATTTAAATTTTATAATTGTGATTTATGTATAAATATCATGATTTATTGTTTGTTTATTGTTTATAGAAATATTCTGAACTCTAGTATGGCAGATACTGTGACATTTGAGTGCAAAAAGTTTGCAGAATTTACAAAGTCAGTGGAACCAAAAGATCATTGTCAGCATTTAAATTATTTATATTCATTTATTAAGCTTTTATATACTAATGTGAAACGACCATTTTCATTGTATGAGGTTTGTCTTGAAATGATAAGTAATGCCCATAGCTCTACTAGACCAATACAATAAGATTTTGTGACCATCCATTATGAATATCGATTGATATCTTATTTTTATAATTGGTTTATTAATACATTTTTGTCATTAAATATTTTTTAGTTATATCAAAAGTAGGAATTTGTGTTCAACTATTTTTATAAGTTATTTGTTATGATTTAAATGAGTTAAATTGGGTTTTTTTTTATTTATATCATATTCATTAATTATGCTACATTATAATATTGAGAAGATAATTTTTTTTTTTTTGATTATTAACCTTATATTATTATATTTTTATCGACTTGATACATGTTTAAATTTTTTTTCAACTACTACAACAACAAATTTGAGGAAGACCTACACTTAAGTCATAACATGCGTGTTATTACAGGCTTACAGCTTGGATTTCTACCATTCATATCAAAGCAAAACTAACATTGTATTAGGTAGCTTTAGTATTAGAGTGATTGACCTATTACGAAATTTAATGTTCAGAACATTCTCAGTATTGACAAGTAAAATTCGGAATGTTGTGAGTGGTCAGTAGGAAAATAAATAGTGTGTTGACATCCATGAACTTCACTTGGCCAATTTTTAATGGGATAGGGTGGCTTTATTTAATATCGATAACCAATGTACTTAAATAATACCTACATATTATACTTATTCTGTGGAATGTATAATATAATAGTATCTAAGCTAACTCTTTGTTGTAGCATGTAAAATTAAATGACATTATGGAAATAGCTTGATGAAATGATGAAATATCAATGTGATTAAATAACTACTCAAAGTTTTTAGTGCATATTTTTTGCGTATTTTGACATTTTTGGGGAAAATTTACTAACATAATAAATAATAATATTATATTAATAAAATATTTAAAGAAAAAATGTAATTTTTTAGTGTTAAGTGGGAAGGTAATTTTTATTCAACCACATTTTTGATATTTTGATACATAACCGCATATTTTTAAATGTACATTTGATGATTTGTTAGTGCATTAGTTCTTGATCTGTCCATAACAATAAAACATTATAAATATTTATATACCTAAAATATAAAAGTATAATTATTACCTATATAGGTTTATCAAAAAACATTTAATACTAAACAATTAAATACGACTGATGATTATTATATTAATAACTAAAGACCGGATTTATATGATTTAGCATATCGTTACTGAGTCTATATGCTGTCTGGTTATAGTAAAAATGTGGACGATTCGTTCAATTCTGCAGACATCTGAGTTAGTAGGAAAAAAATTCTTGGAATATTCCCATTTTTTCTTTTTGTATAGTTTTGATAAAAATAAAAGGCGCATAAGTTGCCATGCCATTCACTATGTATGAAGGCTAACTTGCAATGCTGGACAATATTTTAATAATCAATGTATATTATGTTTATTATTAATTTAATTTTTTTAATATTTTTTTGTCTATTAAATATTCAAATGTCTAAATATTTTGCTAATTCTTTTGGACTTTTGAAATTACGTATTAAATTAATGTGATTTTTTAGTTTTTAAAATGAACAAAATAAAAAAATAACTTAATTTTGTTTTAAATGTATCTACAATATATGTACAGCTTTATGTAATTGTATGTCTGCAGTAAACTTATTATCTCCTTACATAGTAAAACGGTTATCGTTAAATACCACTTAACGTGTGCAAACAGTACCTACTATTTTGCATCATGTAGGTATGAATAAATACATTATTTTATTTTTTAACACCTACGAGAAGCATTCCAGAATATTATAACTTATATATATAGATTTAAATTTAAAATTTTACCATCTGTTAAATCTAGTAAATCAATAAGCAAATGTGATGTTAAAAGTGTGGATGGTAAAAAAATTTCACTATTTACATTTGGTGGGGGCTGTTAAAATGAACAGAATATATAGAGGCAATGTACCTATGCAATTATTTAAATTATTATTTGACTAATTGTATAGTTATATCCATTTTGTATTCAACTAGTGAAATGTACCTTTTATGTAACTATATATATTTAGAAACAAAACGAAATAGATTTAGAGATTTTTGAATTCAAAAAGGATCATCACGTCCATGAAATACGAATTGAGTATGACTTATTTGACCTACTACAATGCAAAAAATCTCATCCTTACCACATTGTTGACGATGTCGTCGGCTCAATGCTACGTAAAATATATAATGACACAATTAAATAAGATATTTTAATACTTAGGATATCATTAAGATTTGAGAGCGAAAAAGGCATAGCAAAAAAACAACAGCATGTGTGATTCCAACTGTTCTATAAATACAAAATTACACCTATTTTTGCATACTTTCGACATTAGTGCATACAATATGCATCTAACTTTTTTATCTATGGTTAATTCCTTATTTGGAGGAAAAATTTTGATAAATTCGATAATATTTGTATTTAATATAAAAAGTTAATTTTTCATAAATTCTTTCAAAAAATATTATTTTTTGTACATCTCAATAATCTATTTGTATTCTACAATAATACCTATGCCTACATTTTCTATGCCCAATTTTTATATCTTTAACATACTGTTTATTGGCACCTTTTAGCTCATTTAATATGTAATTGTGAACTAATATATACTAAGTTTATCTACTAAACATATTCTTTTTACGCATATTTGATGTGTTTTTAGTTTTTTAAATCCATAGTCATAATTACCACATCTTTTAATATATTAAAAAAAAAAAACTATGTAGACGACAAATTAAATATTTATTTCATCACAAATAATGATTTACAGATTTATTGATTAAATTATTTAAATACCATCGTAATACAATATTTGATTGAACGCTTTAAATTGTAAATAATATATTTTATTTTATTCTTAGACGATAGAATTGAGTGTTTCAATTTAGTTCTAACAAACTAGATAATGAGCAGACAAATAATCTAGAGTTTTTGAATATTGTTTTGTACATTTAGTTTTCAAGATATTTAGCAGTTAGCTATATTGTGGAATAGTATTAACATTGGTCATAACTAGTTACTTCTATTATTTTATAATCAATGGTACTTGCTGGATCTCTATAATAGTAATGAATTTGACATTTATCAAAGGATTTGTTGGAATCTGTAGCACAATACAAAATTTTAGCGGATAACTGCCAAATTAGTAATTCCGTTTTTCACAGAGGTCATTGCAGAATGCAGATAGCTCATGGATTATAAGTTATAAGTTATATGTATAGAATTTTTCAATAACAGATAATATATTAATATTACTTCATCTGGTTAGATAATTATATAATATTTTTAATTTTTAAGAAAAATAACAACGAATTATACTAATAATTGTCGACTATTTTATACTGTACACTTGCCCTAATTATATTAATTAACTAGGCAGACAAATGTATAATTTTAGTAGATCACGATTAAACACGTTTTCAACACATTTATTTTAGATCATTCTTGATATTCAGTTATATTATACGGAACAACAAGAAATAAATAATGTTATACTTAAATATGTGAGTTTTCGGTTGACGTACACGTGTCTGAGTTATAATGATCAACCATTTCATGCTTTTCATTATTTATATAATTTTGAGCACTCATATAATTCATAAAATCTTTTTTAATATCTTTAATTGATTAAGTGGGCAACAAATTAATCAGTTTAATTGTTGAAAAGCTCATACAATTTTTAAAAATTAGACATTTAAAATAGCGTTTATCTATAGAGGTGTATAAGTAATGCATAATAATATCCCCGTAGTTTTGAATAAAATCTCGTGGAACTACGACCCATACACTTGCGAATAGCAATGTATAATAGGTATATATTATTATTTTATATAATATGGTTATATTTTTCAGTATTTGGTTGGCGTTTTTTTAAAGCACAATATTATACATATTTTGCGTAGTTGCGCAGTCCGTAATAAATCTAGAATGCTAGTTATACATACATATTATATAATATGGTACCTATGCGAAAAATAATTTTTGAAAAATTGCTGCGTAGTTGAATTTTATTGCGATTGTACGTCAATATGACAATATTTTTGTAATTATATATTTAGTAATTATAGTATTTTTTTCTTTTAGTTGACGTATTGATACAGCTAATAAACAAATCACCGTCGTTTATTAAGGTACAAGTGTCAAAATATGTAACGCTGTATTGCTGCAAATATATTTAACTGAAAACAATTAGTGCATAATAGTTATCACATATAAAGGGAGAAATCAAAAATGTACGAATATTTATAATTTTTAGTCGTAATGGAACAAATATTATTAATTACATACATAATACATACGTTTTCATCGGCCAGCGAATTTTAATGATTGTTTATTTTAATTTTTTAATTTTTTAAAAATGAACATTATGTCTGCAACATTCATGTTTGCTCATACAATATTTGCTGAATGGCGCCATCGATTGCAAATTAATACCGCCTGCTAGCTACAAGTGGCGGTGCAAGGGTGAGAGAAAATACGCAGTTGCTAAAAATTCCTTTGCATTTGAAGTCATGCGCATAAAAGTGAATGTCAGTAAGTAAACAGTGATGCAAATGTTGTTGGGGGGGGGGGGGGTTAAGCCCATGGATAATTTTTTCAAAATTTAAATATATATCATGTAAGAGAATTTATATTTCTGTAATTTTATCCCAAGTATCGTTCATAACATATACCTACCTAGCTATTACACAATATGTAATATACAATATATATAACATGCCTATAAATATTTTCTTAATAAATTAATACATTTATTCAGTTAGAAAAACAAAACAATTCGTTATTAAATTTAACACATATGTGGATGTTGTCTCCGTCTTACAAACGTACAACATGGCAAATTGGACGTTCACAATAATACATTTTACTCAGTAATTTCTAAAATTATAGTGAACTGACCTCTTATTCAATTTAATTGCAAGATTATTATCTTGGGTATTACAAAAGATTTCATTGATATTTTTATTAAGAAGCAAGTTATGACTATTTTTAAACTGAACATTTTAAAATTATCATATACCTTTGAAAAAATAATAAAATCAACAAAACTCTCAGAGATGCCCTAGATAATAATCTTAATAAATTCTAAATTTTATCATGGGTCAATAACAGTAAAATGGATTATTGATAACGTAATATATGTTATACGTTTGTAAGACAACACATGCGGGCGTCTTTTTAAATATTTTTCCTAACGCTAATAAAAATAATAATAATCTATAAAATATGTTTACATAGCCATTGCATGTCCATTAAAAAGCAATAATAATTTCAACATTCCTACCTACTCAATTTTTTCTAAATGGCAATGTCATAAGTCAATAAATCTTCATTAACACACATATTTTGTACTATAATACTACTACTATACCTATACTACAACTGTTTTGTCTGTGGTATGTGTCATCTCAACGCATCACAGTGAATAAACCAACGGTGAAACGTATGTAGGCAAATGCACTCTATAGAAGTCCAGTTTCTACCAAGGAGTTGGGATATTAGACTTATTTGAGTTTTATCGTTGTAAACTTTGTCCAGACGCCCAGCAATTGCAAGTAAAATAAAAGGTGGTTTTAATTTTAGCCTCAATAGTAAAATGTTGTCATAACACGGACCGTTTAAATCTGCCAGTAAAAATTATTTATCTTATCGTTAAGTCTTAAGAAAAGTTCCTTGACAATAAAACTAATTTAAAAATAAAAATTGCTAAGTATAAATGTATGAATATACATTATACTTACGTGGTTACACGTAAATAGAATAAATACGACTTGTGTTTTATACAATTTGAATATTTTTAAAATTTTCATTTTTACAAAATTATTATTTTCAAATAATACATCTGCATATATAGAAGATAGGTATGAAATTACGAATTTTCATTAATCGTTTAACGAAATTAAAATTAAAGAGTAAAACCTTTTTAGAAGATTGTCGGAAGTTGGAATAATCGTGATGATGTCCTCCGGGTTCTGGATAATATTAAATAGTTCTTAAAAGTAGAAACAATTATTGGGCCCAATGAATTTATAAATTATAATTACATACATTTAACTAGCTGTCCCATCACGGCGTTGCCCGTGTATTATAATATAGCTACTCGTATATAAAAAACCCTTTGTCACCGTGTTGTAAAATATGTATATAGATACACAAGTTGTACATAAACAATTTATTTTTGACGATTTCAACCCTTTAAAATCAAAATTTTGAAAAATCCTTTATTAGTGAAACTTGAAATTATAATATTAATCCATCCTCAACATTTCAATTTGATAACTCAAATAGTTTCGGCTCTGCGTTAATTATTACTAAAGTAATTTTCCTTTAAATACAAATAGAGATTTTAAAAAAATTATGATGAACTAAATTTACAATTTTCTTGCGCCTAGGACTGACATATATTCGATTTTTGAAACGAACCAAACTTAGGATGTTCAAAAAAATTCGTCCGTAGTTTGCTAAAACCAAAAAATGTTCAGGTTTCATTCGTTCTTAAAAACCATGGTTTCCATTATCCCTACGGCTTGTAGTCATATATGATGTATAATTAATGGTTATATTATAATTAATTAATATTATACTTATGAACGCAGCATTAAATGCAAATGTACCAAATATTAGCTCACACAATTGATACCAATGTTAACTTTAACCGTAACATCATTGGATATCTATTCACTCTTGTTTAAACGTTAGTGTCTTCATGACTCAGCACTCAGAAGCTTCTGTGGGACTGAGAACTATCGTTTCTCTCTCTGTAATGTTGGCCAAAAATCGTATGTATGTTTAGTGAACATAAGAATACCATATGGCCGTATCCATATGTTTAATATCAATGAACGAACCACCTCGACCTCATCCTGTATAATGGCAATAGTGAAAACTTTTTACTTTCACAAAATATATCTGCTAGCGTTATCAATGTCTTCTATATTATGATAGTATGAAGTATTGAGGTATGGTAGATAATACGTATGTGCAATATGTCAATATTGTATTCATGTTATATTAATTTATACTGTTTTTTATTGGTATTACCACGCTTGACTAACACGTTAAAAACAAAGTCATTCATTAAAATATTTATCTATAACTAATTATTACTCATATAAATTATATCATAATATTGTCTGTATTATTTGACTAGTAAGTAAGAAAATTACAAATAAGACAATAAACTCCTTAAAAATAATTACATAGGCAAATTAAGCTACACATGTTATATCATTTGTATGACATTATAGGCGTGCCAACCAATTTTCTTCAAAATCAAAAATTAAAATATGTTGCACATTCAAATAATTAATTTACTTATGTTTTTTTGCTTGATATGATATTTTTAATTATTCAATACATTTCGTAGGTACTGTTTTAGAGGCTACTTTTACCACTGTATTTTATATTATTTAGGTACTAAAAGTAATATTGTACCTACGACCCACCTCTACATTAGAATTTGTAAAATTTGATTTATAAAATATATTTTATTAATGTAGGGCAGTATACTATATTATATAAAAGTATAGCTATAAATGTATAGCGAATATGCAATATAAATTCAACTTTATAAAAAAGTACGAAAAATGTTATGCAATACTAGTGATGTACTATTATTTGTAATAGAAAGTTTTTGAATTCTTTTGTAATTTCTTGAAAAATTGTAAAATACAGTAAATAAAAGTTGCAAACCAATTTTAACGTACTATGTTTTTTTAAATTTAACGATGATGTTGCATAGGTACAATTGCAAAATTATTTTACATTTGTCACAAAAGTGAATAATAATTGCGACAAAGTCATTGTATTTTATTAACTCTTTTGAACATCAATCACTTGGAATCGCCTCAAATTGTAATATTCAATATCGAATTATGTATTATGTATTCGAAGTTTGAACTATATTATACATTTATAAGTTATAACTGTTTATAGATTTGTATCCCGCTATAGATTTCTCGAAGCGAAGCAGAGGAGTTGTTTCTTGAATGTATGACGTGATTTTTTTTTTTGTTTTATAGGAAAACACTATAATCGTGATGTTCAACACAAGTTGGGGGAACTATGGAGAATTGAACACAAATATTGGTTTTTGGATTTTTTTTAGACCTTTTAACCAAACTATTGGTAAGCTACTAAAGTCGTCCAGCAAACTATTTTATATTTTCAATGGAGTAAAATACAAAATATGTCATGTATTATCAGTTAAAAGTATAAAAATGTTCAAAAAAAAAAATATTCATCTCTAGTACCACCCAGATATTAGCTATCTTACACAATGAATATTGTGAAGATTGATGACGTTTGCCGAAAACTATATTATTCTATCTAAAAGTGCTATATATGTAATATGTATATTAATATATTATATATAAATACATAATTATTGAATAGTTTACTAATATTCTTTGTATTGGAAGCTTACGAAAAGAGATAAAATAATGTTATCACGAAGGGACATGAAATTAATATGATTGTGTGAGACTGTAATTGTTGTCTATGGACATTTTAAATTTCTACAAAGTTTACTATGGTGATGAAGTACGATTTTCATTCCATTGAAATCTTGAAGTACATACTGTATTCTACAATTTAATATTTTCAAAACCGTAAGTATAGAAACATAATTAGAAAAATAAATCATATCGTTACTGTGATACCTATAAACTGCGAAATAAATATTTTATTGAAAATATATAAATTAGACTTTTTCGATACACATACGATCTTTAAAAATATATGTTGGCTATAAACTTATCATTCATTCCGTAATGATTTTACAATATTGAATTGTTATATGTTACCATGGAATTCAAAAGATTATTAGAATATTATCGCATATTGATTTTTTAGAAATGTCTTCAGTTTGTGAAAGTCCTTTGAACGGTAAGCACCTAGTATGATAGTTATAATTATTATATGATGTTCAAACACTGACCAATTAAACATTTTTCTATTTTTTCCTTTCTAGATTTCTAAAAGCATGAAGTTTCTATTGATTATTAGTTTAATAACAATATTGGTAAGTTCCGGAAGAGGATTAACAGAAGACGAACAATTTGATGAATTAATAAGGGAGATTGATAAAGTTGTACTCTTCTTAAAAGCACGGATCGCAGCCAGCGAGAATAATGTGACGGACGTCTTGGAAAAATATACCGGGTTGTTAGACCATCCGACCTCGTCGCAGCCACCCATTCCCGTTAACCGTGGTTCTACCGCGTCGCAACCCCCAGAACCAGAAGTCCGTAACACCGGGTCAGAGCCAGCAAAAGCCGTGGACCAAGGTTTCACCAGGCCAAAAAATAGCTATGATCTACCATTTGACGTAATAAATCGATGTTATATGTTGTCGAGAACATTACCTGATGAAGAGCGATCGAACTATTTAATCACATTACAGCGCAAAGTAAACTATACATTTCTATCTTCTAATAAACAACAATAAAAACAAGTACCTAATGATTTCAGATTTCTGAATCTAGACATCAGTATACAGATTTGAACAAACTTAATCTACGACTGGCTTCAAACATTCATTTCAGGAAATGGATCTTTATAACATTCGGCGTACTAAATTTCTTTGGGTCATTGGTTATATTTAACCATTATTTTATACATATAATTACATAAAACTATTAGACAATTATTATAAAATAATTGTCTAATAGTTTTATTTTATTACATATATATATATACAATAATGGTAACAAATAACCAATGACCCAAAGAAATTTAGTACGCCGATTGTTATAAACAGTGGCGGCTCGTGGGTGCTGATAATGGGGGTACGACTTTAAAATATAAAATACCACTAATCATAGGTTTAACAAATTATCAAATTAAATATAATAAAATGAAACACAATACACATATTATTATTTTAAAGCTTAATATTTTATTCATATAATTATCATAGTATATTATTATTATATTATTATTATAACATTATATGATTTAGTACATAATTTGAAAATAATTATTTTATGGAGTTATTTTATGAATAAAATCCATCCGCCTGTTTTTTGTTGATGAAAAATGTTCGATGACCTTTTTATTGAATTCCATATCTTCTGAAATCATTTCACTTTCAATACTAAGAATAGATAAAGCGTTAAGTCTGTCTTCTCCCATGGTACTTCGCAAACAAGTTTTAATTCTTTTTAACGTCGAAAATCCGCGTTCAGCTTCCGACGATGTCATCGGAATGACGATTATTGTATAGGTACTTACATTACGTATTTGCAGTGTACGACAACAATATACATGCTACTAGGTGCAGGTCGCAGTACAAAATAGAAATTAAAGTAATAATAATTAATAGCGATAAGCAACCGACAGCAGCGCTGTTAATTTTAAAAATAAATTACCCAATATATATAATATATAGTAATATATTACTGTATGGACGACGCTATCGGTCGTCCAAACCCCGTATAATAACATCGTACAATAAACGTAACCGCAAGCACATCATTCCGCGCCTCGCTTATACATACGAACCATACGTCCATACGCCACGACGGACGACGACGCTGCAGGTCGTCCAAATACGATGCGTATCCATATTATGCGATAAGCTTCTGGTATCAGAGAAAAACAAAATAATGTAATGTTCGCACACGACAAATGTATTATACCTTTATAAGTTATAACTATAATAATATTATATTTAAAAATTCCAGTTTAAATAAAAATAACTTTTAAAAATCAGAATTAAGATTATACAATAAATTTTCTTATTTTTACTAATTTTAGTAGGAGGTGCGATCGTCCCGTCGTCCAAGCCACGAGCCGCCACTGGTTATAAATATCCATTTTATGAAACGAATGTTTGTATTCAATTGTTGGTTAGGTTTGTTCAACTACTGATGTTTAAATGAATTGTATACTGTGAGATTCTACCTGGTCGCAGTCACCAGAACCAGTATATCATACCATCGGGTTTCAGCCTCGACCGAGTTTCAACTGGCCACATCCACCGATAGCTTTGGTCCGTGCCACTAGTCCGTTATTCGTCCATCCATTGAATTGTTGATAGATTCACTGCCGCACAAGATGATAGGAAAATGGATCGCGCCAGAAAAATATTATAATGAAAGCAGGGGCGTACCGAGAAGGTTTTTATTGGAGGGCCAAAGTTGGTAGTTTGGCCAACTCTAATAATTGATCCGGGACAACTTGTTTTTGTTATTTTGTCGTAGCCATTTCATCGTTAAACAGTTAAAATACTAATAGATATGAAAATTGTTTATAATACCTATATAAGATATCCATTACAATTATTACATTAGGCAAGTACCACATTTGCAATAAAATAATAAATAATGTTAAAAAAAAAAAAACAAAGTATAATATATTATTATTATTGTTATAAAAATTATTAACTTTCTTATAAATATTTTTCATTATTGATTATCATTTATCAGTATTCTTCTTTTTTTTAGAGTTGCCCATTTTTGAGCCATTTCATTTAAAGACATTTTATCCACCAAATCTTTTTCAGAAGAAAGCAACATCAGATTATTTAATCTACAGTCTTCTTGGGTTGTTCTTAAATAGTTTTTGACTATTTTCAATTTGCTGAATGACCTTTCATTGCCAGCAACGGTTACAGGTGCTGTACATGATTAGCGGCATAATAGATTGGCCAATGGCAAAGCAGTTTTTAATTCATGGGAAACTATTGCTAGGTCAATCATAGTGCATTTATTTTGACATTGCTCGTAGAGCACTTCCAGTTCACACTGCAAAGTTAATGTATCAATAATTTCAATATTATTCGGTAAAAATTGTATTGCATCTTGAATAAGAGTGTCCGTCAACAATTCCTTTGAAAATGGCGGTTTAAACATACTGTATAATGGCTTAATATCATTAATGGATTTCTCAAGATGATCTTTTATTAAATCATTCAGTTTATCTAAGACCATTTTAAACTCTTTCCTATAAAAAGAGTGGAAGGAAAATTCAAAAGCATTACTTCTATTAATGTCCAATTTTTTTGGTGCAATTCTACGGCGGTGTCGTACAGAAAATTCTTTTTCAGCATCAACATTATATTTTTTCAAAAAAACTACAGCACTTTGGATCAGGTTGTTCATATTTTCTGAATCAGAATTTATAATGTCTAATGATTTAAGAGTACTTGAAATAAATAAAGTAGCATCTGTTATGTTTAATTCAGCCGATTTAAGACATTCAGTTAACAGTTTTAGTTTGTACATAATATTCTTCATAAACATTAGGCTCACAACAAAATCAAAAGAAAATAATTTTTTTGACAAGGAGAAAGCTGTATTTTTAGTATTTTTATCAATTTTCTTTTCTTCAACAATATTATCCAATGCATCAATAATAATTGGATATGATGTCCATAATGATTTTAATGCTTCAGCGCGTGCTGTCCACCTTGTTTGTGATAAATTTCTCGATTTAAGAGAATTTTCAATTTCATTGAGTTTGTTCAATAGAGGTCCATATCGTTTAGTACTTGATGAAAAGAAAACATATAATTCTCGAACAATTGAAAATAAATCAGATATTATTAAACTAGAATCACATGCATGCTCAATAAAAGTATTGATTCTGTTGGCCATTATGTACAGTTATTGAGTTTTTCATAAATGTAAAATGGCCAACTGAAAAGTTAAAAACAAAATTATTGGGGGGGTATTATGACCACCCTACCCCCCCTCCATTAGGTTCGACCCTGAATGAAAGTTTTCACTTTAATTGTTTAGATATATCAATTAAATATAAAATGTGTCTAAGTTAAAAATTAACTAAATTGTACAAAAAATATAAATAATGTAAATTTTTATATTTGATTAGAATAATATTATGGCATGTTCAAAATATGTAAAACCTCTATAAATAGTTATCGTATTTAAAATAAACTATTGAGAATTAATCTTGAAAAAAATTGAATACGTTCTAGTTCATTACTCAACTGTTATCGTTTGTTATGGTAAATTACTCACTCCACAAATTGGTTTTTTATTATACATTAAACTAGTTCCGTTTTCATAGTTTAAATGTTGAAATATTATCTACAACGTTGGTTTTTTGGTTTTTATATTTGTACTGTTCGGTGTGATATTTTCCTTCTGAATACTGTATTAATTTTAATGTAATATGTTTGTACTTGGATAAGTTTTAAAATATCAAAAAACATCTTTTATTTTTCTATTCTCTTAACTTAATTAAATTATTACATTCGTCGGTCGCAATATATACTTATAGTCGTCAAAAACACGTTTATTGAAATGTTATTTCTTAAACCATGACAAATTTCTATTTAAAAAAAATAGACAGAAAACTATCTTAAAAATGCCCAGGTATAACAATATAATCTAAAAAAATTCACAAAATGTGTAAAATTAAATTTTTAATATCAGTTCTCTGAATCATAAAATGAACTAAAAGTCTACTCTGCTACAGTGCTACTTCTTGAGCATTTTATGAGAAATACGCAAATGCTTTAAACTTGCTTAAAGTCCAAATCCTGCGAACAATACTCCACGTTCAAGAAAACATAGCGTTTTCCGGAGCATTACATAGGCAAAATAGGTACATTTTTACATTGCAAAAATACGTTCCATAATTTTACCTCTTCGAGTGTAGGTATAATCCATTAATCCAATATGTTTCCAAGTATCCGATATTGTGAATTTGTGAACACAGTCAAATACAAGAATATGCTTCGACTTTCAACTTCAGAATCTTTTCTGGTGGGAACTGAATCTAATTAGTACTTTTAAAAGGTCACAATTGAACATTTTCACGAGCTTAAAAATTATCGGGATAAACAAAAACAAAATGTTTATTCATGACAAAAGATAAAAAAACCCAAAACTTATCTACTGACTATCCCGTCTACAATGTGGATCATTTCCAGGCGTTCATATAACGATAGAATCCTGTCCCGTTTTGATCATAATACATATTTTTCCTTGACCTTGGTCTAATCTACTTTGTATTTCTATGTTTGTAAATTTTGCCTAAATAATTCATTAAATAATAAATAATATGGTACATAATATTACATTATAGGTACATACAAAATATTATTTTCGCTGAGCTTTTCGGCCACACTGTTTTCGTTATCACAGTTGGAACAACAGATTACATAAAAATATTTTAATCTATTCTGTGGTTGTTCTGCAACAGTTCCTTTTCAAAAAGTTAAATTTTTTTTTTTTTAATTTTTTTTATTTTTAATTGCTTTACCTATAAATATTTTGTGTTTGATTAATTTACTGTAAATTAGTGATTCAAGCAACACATTTTTAAATTATTCTATTATACAGAAACTTTCCATACCATTATAGTGATTTAAAGTACTACGCTTGCTGATTACCAATGCTATTATGTCTTTGAATGAAAAAAATGCTTCAGAACTTGAATTTCAACATGTTCATGATGTGTGTACATTTTAATACATATATTCAATATTTAATATTAATTATTTTATTTAAAGTACAATTAATTATTAATGATAATTTAATTTAAACATCAATTTTAATTTAAAATTACCGGGGTGTTTGATGAAAAAAATATTAATATAACCGTTCAATAAAATAAAATAAAATAAATTAAGTTAAATATAACTGAATTACGTTTAAGGGAACAATAGCTCTCTTTTAATTTGTTAAATGTTTAGATTTTTCATGCAGTTCGGCATAAGTGTTAAATTATTGATAGGGATTTTTTGCTGATATTGAGTCCCAAATTATAAAATTGGACAAAAAAGAAATATTTACCCATGGGAGCTATACCTACTGCTTGGAGGTAAATTAATTTTTGATCTTTTTGTTTTTATAGGTTTATGAAAACATAGCATCACATTTTAGTGAAAC